AAAAAAAAAAAAAAAAGAGAGAGAGAGAGAGAGAGAGAGAAAGAAAGACAGAAAAAGGAACGAAGGAGAAAAAAACAAAAAAAAAAAGAAAAAGCCCTCTTACATGAGATTTCATTTGTTTACAAAACACTAAGAAATGCCAATGGCAAGATCCTCCAAAACACCCCTCAGAGCAAACAGTGATGGATTTCGGCTTTTATGATGGTAGTGTTCATTTCAACTGCTTGATGATTTCTTAAAATTAGCATGGTGAAAAGTGGAGACCCTTCACCGAAGTGGACTCCTCACTGCCAAGTTACATGGAGAATACTCTCCATTATATTTCAAAGCTTGTTTAGCAAGAAATGTGCTTTCACAAAGCTGTCAGCCAACTCCTTGCTCTCACCAGTTTTTATATAGCTTTGCAGTGTATATGACCAGGTATAATTACATGTCATCATTAATAGCATGTACTAATGGTGTCTTTGGTGAATGTTTGTTTTCCAGGGAGCTAGAGGCCCCATGGCCTATGGAGCTATGTTCCCAGGATTTGAAGGCCTGAGACACAGTCTTAGAGGAGTTCACCCCAATCCAGCCCTGGGTGGAGATTTTACTCTGGAATTTGACTCCCCAGTGTCTGTAACCAAAGGCCCTGAGAAGGGAGAAGGAGGTGCACAAGGCTCCCCACTTCAGGAGGCCAACCCAGAAAATCCAGAAAACCCAGCACTCCTTTCACAGATAGCAACTGGTGCCCATGCAGGGCTCCTTGCTTTCCCTGATGACAACATTCCCAGCCTGGCAAGGGGTCCTGCAGGGCAGAGGCAGGGACCCCCTGGGATCACGCCAGCAACTGCTGACCCACTCATGACCCCTGAATTAGCTGAAGTTTATGAGACTTATGCTGGTGATGTTACCACACCCCTGGGTGAGGGAGAAGTAACCATGGATACCACAATGTCCCCAGACACTCAGCAAACATTGATGCCAGGAAACAAAGTGCACCAACCCCAGATGATGCATGATGCGTGGCGTTTCCAAGAGCCCTGACAATCTTGAGATATCAGCTACTTTCTATATGCACAAGCTTCCCAGCTTTGTCCCCATAGTGTATCTTTTTGCTAAAACACTTATTACCCTTCTGCACCAAAGGCATTAAAAGCACAAGCATGTATTAATAAATACAAGTGGCTAGAAATAGTATAGGTCCCCTTCTTGCTTTCATTCTCTCATTGAAATAAAATGTGTCAACTGTCTCTGTGATTTAGAAATACTCTTAATAACATCAGAGCAAATCTTAAGAGTCTCAGCTTTGTTAATCTTGTTTCTTAGCAGTTTTAGGCATTATAGAATTTCTCTTACTAGCATAACACTATTATATCCAGGAAATGTGGCACCACTTTTTTCTCTAAGCAAAGGCACATAGTCACAGAATTCTAAGGTATTTCATTTAAACTCTATTAAATAAGGATGGTGGGCAATCCCTGGCTGGTATTACTGGGCTTAATATATTGGATTTAAAGTTCTCATTTGTAGAGCATTATATTTAATCTAGTAAAAGAAAAACAATTAGCCTATTTTAAATAAAGAATTTTTCTCACTGAAAATATCAGGAATCGTAGGCTTATTATTTATATATTTAAATATTTAAGAAAAGCATTCTTATGCCTTACATTTTCTATTCATTAACTCATTTTATACACTTCATTTGTTTTACATGTAGTTTATTGACTATCTACCTAAATCCCAGGTATTGTGCAAGACATCAGGTATATAGTCCCTTCCTTCAAAGATTACAACAGGCATGACTGACAAGTAGATAATCATAACAATAACAAAAACACCCACTCCAAGCCAAGCTCAATCACTTTACAAATACTGTCTCACAATAATACTGCAAAACAGACTCACCCCATCATATGTGAAAAATGCTATAAAAAATACCAAATACAAGATGCCCCTGGAATCACAGAGAAAAGGCTCCTAATCCAAGCTAAGCAACATTGAAGGGGCCAGTAGGGATGAGACAAGTTGTCTTAGAATAATATCAAAAACGTGTCCAGAATGAGGCCTCCAAAAAGAAGAAATGCAGGAAAAGTCATGTATGAATTAGCTTATTGCTGTGAAATAGAACATGGAAAAAGGGGGTGAAGAAAATTACCTCTGCTTGTTACCAGGACTAGTTACATGTTCATCACAGTGTGTGCCTAAATTAAGATGTTGCAAGTCCAGATCTTGTCATCCCTGAGAATTAGCCTTCTCCTTCACTCAGACAACCTCTCCTAAGATGCCCAGCTGAGATCTTAGACTCCATGGTACTTAGACTCTTCTCCATCCCCTGATGACTTTAGGGGTGCAGGCAAAGAAAAAGAGCCCTGTTAGAATAGCCATCATTAGCAACACCACCAACAACAGGTGTTGGCAAGGTTTTGGGGAAAAAGGAACACTCTTACACTGTTGGTGGGAATGTAAACTAGTACAACCACTCTGGAAAAAAATTTGGAGGCTACTTAAAAAGCTGGACATC